CTCTTGGCTTTGCGTCACAGTTACCATTATTGAGTTCACTACGTTGTGATTCATTAACTCCACACTGAGTTCAATGATTCCTTTTGCTCTGCCCATAAGTCTGCCTACGACTGAACCTAAAACAAAACAAATCGAGTTACCGAAGTACACAAAAAAACATTTTGTTAACAGGTGAAATTATGGAAGTATTAGCAGTCCGGTACAAAATATATTTGCTCAGCTTCCATTTGACCAGCATTTCTGTTTATCATACAAAGGCCGATGATACAATGAAATAAACCCTTAATCGTATTTGATGTCTCTCAGGTAGAAAATGATACCTGCCTCAGACAGATGGATTCTTATACTCCTCCTGACCGTGTTTAAATGCATGCGTCTTCGGTCCCCTTACATACACTGAGGAGGGGAGGAGAAAGGGGAAGAGATACGGGAAGTTTAAAAACAGAACAGAAAGGTCAATCACCTTCCCGTAAGAACTGTGCATCTTTGGTACAAAAATATTCCACTTCTGAGTCTTTAAGCAAAATGAGAACACCACACACATCCCAATTTGAAGAAATGCTTGGAGCTGGGTTACTGTCCAAGCCTCAAGCTTCTCCTCAGTTTGCTTGAAAAATAAAAATAAAACAAACAAACATGGCAACAATATGGATGGATGGATGGATGAGTGATTCGTGGAGAAATGGGTCCCTTTTTAAAAAACATTTTGTGGCGCAGGGAGGGAAATGAAACCAAGAAAGTGATGTAACGCAGCAGATCCCAGATCCCCAGGGACACAATCAACTGGGACGTTTCCCCATGAAAGCGCCACCGCTTTGACCAGAAGTTGTGTGAGAGACCTAGTCAGACATATTTTACAGGGCTCTGGGTCGAAACGAGCGGAATTATTCCTTCACCTAGGAAAAAAAGGCCATGTGAAAAACTAACTCCAAGGCCTTTCACACACTGCACATATGTGGCTGAACTGGGGAGGGGCTGTGGTTCAGAGGCAGAGCACCTGCTTGGCACACAGAAGGTCTCCGGTTCAATTCTCAGCATCTCCACTTCGAGGATCAGTTAAGTAGGTGATTCCAAAGACCTGGACCTAAGGCCCCGGAGAGCCACTGCCAGCTTGAGCACACAATACCGACCTGGATGGGACCAATAGTTTGATTCAGTATAAGGCAGCTTCATGTGTTCAATCCGGAAATTCCGTCACGTGCTTTGTGTGCAACTGAAACATGTTTTGGAAGGAATCTCCTGCACTGCTAGAGAGGGGGCCCTCAAATGTGAGAGGGAAGGAAGGGCTCCCAAAGAGTGGCATTATGTGGGATGCATAGCTACTGGATAATGTCCAATGAAAGTAGACGCAGGACATGATGTGATTCTGGGGATTTCCCTATCCCTCACAAACGGCACCCCACAAAGTGGCAGCAGGAAAATGGGATGCTAGGCATTCGTGTCACACATCTTCTTTCAACGGACATCATGTGAGAGATGCGGCAAATTTGGGGGACCTACAGGGAACCTACGGAGCATGTACAGAGGCAGTTGTGGGCGCCCAAAGACAGACTCTTTTTGCTTGGTGGCTGTATGTTGTAATACAAGCTCCTACCCAGCTCTGAGTGACGTGGATTTTGATTCGTTTTGCAACCCCTGGCAAAAAAATAAGGAGAGTAATGTGGAAACTCTCACCAAGAGTCCAGTCCAGTTAAATATATTCAGAGAAATAAAAGATGTACAGCTCTTTCCCCAACAAAAAGACCAATGCAATTTTTTAAAAAACATCATAAAGCTTGGGGAGTGAGACTAGAATTAATTCAACTTGGCTTTTTTGAGTTTCGCCCTGTTCGAAACCTCTCCATGAGGAATATTCAGTTCCCACTGAGTGGAGATGAACTTGCTACTTTTAAGAATCCTGGTATTAACTCATGGTGATCTTGATTATCTTCATGTCGGCTATGAATATTTGGACTGCAGTTCACCTCTCTTTCTCTTTTTTTAGGGACTCTTAAGATACTATCCGCGGTTGACTTGACCCTGGAAAAGCAAGCGTGTCCTCAGGTCTACCAGCCTATGTCAGTAAGTGGTTTTGCCAATGGCGAGTGTTATCAACAGATACTTGGGTCCTTCCAACCTGCAGTTTTTGAGTGGGACGTCTTGGACATCGCCTTATGGTGATGTGTCAAGCAAAATGTCACTCATTCCACTCAAGCAGTTGGCATGGCAACCCTGAAATAACAGGCACCTACAAATCTTCTCTCTAACCCTTTTGGGGAAAGTTTCCATTTCCATTCTTACGGTGCCCTACTTGAGGCTGTTACGTTTGCCAAAAGGGGGGGAAGCGGTCTTCAGCCCGCTTGTAACTCAAGACAGAGGTGCGAGCCACATGTATTTCCCAGAAGACACTGAGAAAAGCCTCAACATGTGACCGAGTCCATTGTGGATAGCGTCAAGATGCTGCGGTCGGTGGTATAGAATGGTTCCGAAGCGCTCCATGATCTAAACGACAACAAGAGAGAAGTTTTGCTGACTAAAAACCTGTATTCTGGTGCAGAACTCAGATAAAAATCTACGAGGATTAAAAGGGTTCGGGGAAAGCAAAGGCCTGCTCATTCTGATGCCCCTGGTCTTCAAAACCATGGACACCGTTCAGTTACCCGTGGGGCACATATGCATGCAAAGCGCAACTCTCCTGTAGTTTTGCATGTGCACTGGGAACATCCCTACTGTGGGACCACGGCTATGTAGAAGCAAGACTCCTTTCAGAAGGAGATCTCTTTCAGACAATGGCCACGATCCAGAGCACAATAGGTGCAGAAGTTCCCCCCCCAGAGATATTTCTATTGCGTGTGGAGAATTTCCTTCCTACAGAAGAGTCTGCACCCCCCCTCTGTTTAATGGGTTAAACATGCACACTGGACTCCACCAAGTATGTTTTATAAGAGGGGGGCAAACGAGCACAACTACTGCAAAATTTGGAGGGGGGGAAGAATGAACACTTGGGAGTCAATGTTCCCTCTAAGCTGTGGAGTCTTGTGAGCAAAAATTCTACTTTGTGAGCTACTGGCATTAAAGTTGTGAGCCAGCCATTTGGCGACTGCATAAATTAGTTTGCTCCGGAGCCATCCTTCCTGAGCTGAGACAAAAATGGGTGAGCCGGAGGCTAAAAAACTGTGAGCTAGCTCACACTAACTCAGCTTAGATGGAACAGTGCTTGGGACCAAAATAGGAAATAATCCTGGAAGAAAAGTGTCTCTCTCCTTGATCCCGCCCCTCTGAAATCTGCTGGGCAAACGACAATGGAACATGTATTGTTAATGGGGGGGGGGGTGACCCGACACTAACATTCTAGTGACTGACATAATGACAAACAGTTTGATGGAAGACAATTGAGCAACATATTTTGGCAAGTTAGGAAAGCCATGCAAAGTCTTTGGCGTGGAATCAGAAGAACAGTCTCCCGCAAAAAGCATTTTTAGAACACCAGCAAGATTTCAAGGACCAGATCTATCGCCCCTCCGCTCCAAGCACTTACGCACCTTTTGATGCAATCAAGAGTTCCCATCCAGAACACTGCCGAGCATTGATTTCGGAGACCAGTCTGCATATTTGACAGAACATTAAGGGCGGGGAATGCACCAGTGGTAACGCGGCTCCTTAAGAGCATCATGGAGTACGCTCGAAGACTGGGGCAAAGCACTTGGCTTTGTGGACCTCCTAACATAGGGCGATTGCATTGTAGCCTTCACCTGATCCACACATGTCCGTACCGCAGGTGGAAGTGTGACTGCGTCGGGAGCATGTGCTGGAAGTGGGCTGCCATCCTTTGTCATGCTATCGAAGCAAGGGTCTTTCCTTCCACACTGTCAAAGGGAGCCAATAGCGAAGAGCTGGAAAATGTCTTCCATTGGACAACAGGCACAACTTCTGTTGAGGGGCAGGCGGCTATGTTCTCAGCTTAAATGTAGCATAACCCAGCCTGATTAAAACCTGTTGCCCTGACCGAATGATGCAAGGAGCTCCCTCACCTGGAAAGGTTTCCCCATTTATTTCCACATAAGGAGCCAACGGGCAGTAAGGTCATGAGAAGTGGCCACCTCCGATGAAAGCGAATGAGGACCTGACATGCACTAGAGATGCTTGGGGGGGGGGGTCAACAGTGGGAGGGCTTCTAGTGTCCTGGCCCCACTGGTGGACCTCCTGATGGCACCTGGTGTTTTTGGCCACTGTGTGACACAGAGCGTTGGACTAGATGGGTCTTTGGTCTGATCCAACATCGGCTTCTCTTATGTTCTTATATGGAGCAGAGGGAATTAGATAAGCATATGGAGCAGAGGTCCATCAGTGGCTCTTAGCCACAAGGGATAGATAGGGACTCTCAGTCTGGGGCAAGGGATGCTCTGTCTTTTTGGTGCTTGGGGGGGGGCAACAGTGGGAGGGCTCCTAGTGTCCTGGCCCTACTGGTGGACCTCCTGACGGCACCTGGTGTTTTTGGCCACCGTGTGACAGAGTGTTGGACTAGATGGGCCTTTGGCCTGATCCAACATTGGCGTCTCTTATGTTCTTATGATTTTGAATGCACACCTCTGATTTGGTGTGCCTGCCAGCAAAAGTGGGGTGGGGAATAATGAACCCTGGTATTATCTTGACTGTCCCGGGTCACAATGATTCAGGCAACAGGCGTTCTTTCACAGCCTGGTGAATAAGTGGTACCGGACACATGCTTCTAGGCGATCTTTCCCTACCTGAATCACAACGCATGAACCCGCCGTTTGTACTACTGAAGAACCGGAGTCGGCTTACCGCAAAGAGCCGAGCCACGATTCCAAACTGCCCGATGGAAGGCAGACTCATGGAGTTCGGATAAAAGCCAATCTACAGCCATCACTGCTGCGATCTCTGAACGTCCGGGACCTTCTGTGTTCAGGGGGACTGCACCCCTGTATGCCAGCTGCTGGGGGCAGCAACGGGGCAGGGGAGACTGGGCCACGGGGGCATCTGACCGGGGGGGAGATTTGATGTTTTGAAATGTTATTCCCTGGATATCTGGTTGGTCTTTGAGGTTCTACTGGACTCGAATCTCGCTCTTCTGCTGTAGGCCAACGTGGCTGCCCACCTGAAACTGTGTCTCCTGCTGTGGGCCTCCCAAGGCTCCTGGGTGCCCCGTGGGATTAGACGGGCCACTCGTCTGATCTGGCAGGTGCTCCTTGCGTTCTTAAAGACAGCTGCGTAACTCCAAACCTTGCCATGTCTTTTGAACAAAACTAAAGCTGGCCCCCAAACCTTCGGGATGCTGTCTACTGGATACCTTTTATCCTAGCTGAAGATCAAGCCGAGCACGGAGGAAATGCACTCGGCAGATCAGACCCGATTTGATCAGGGGAAGGATCTGCAAAGGAACCTTTGCTAGGTCCTCTATAGAGTTTTCCTTTTTCGATGGAATGTGAAAATGAGACAGGCGATAAGCCCGAAAATGTTCTATTACGTCAAATATGAGGCTTCGAGCACATCAGGCTGGTTGTCCGCTTGAAAAGTGTCCCAGAAAGAAAAGCAAACATTGCCAGAACCTTCATCCAAAATTGAACGTAAAGCAGATTACTGGACCTACCTTGTGCTAGGAAGAGTGCAAGACCAGTGGTGGTCTAATCTCTCAAGGCGGGAGGAAGGACGACAGCAGAGGGAGGAGGAGGGGAAACTGGCCTGATCAAGCCTATTACAGCATAGTGGAAGGGAAGACTGGGAGGGGTGTGTGCGGGATTTCCAAAATCTGGATTCTCTTCCTCTTTGCAGGCCTCCAAATTGTATATACCAAAGTTACTTCTCAACGTTCTATCATGCTCTATCATGACGGAGAAATGGAACCCCAGGCAGGGTTTGCGTAGATGGGGACCCAGTCAAGCCTCCTTCGCTGGGGTCATCGGGGCAGGAAGGAGGGTCAGCCCCCCACTCTAACATTTCCCCCAAATGGGCCTCTTTGCTTTCTCACACACAAGTGAGCCCCTGGCATTCGCTGCTATGGGGGAAAGAACAGCACTGCATTTGGAGGCTCTGTGGGGGGGGGGG